CCTACGGACTTGGGCTCGCCCAGGTGAACTCGAACAGGTACCGGAGCACCTTACGCTTAGGAGTCAGTCGCTCAGGATACTCCCTTCCCAAGGGAAGGGCTTTTCGGGGACGGTGGCGCAGTGAATTTTTAATAAACACTGAGCACGCATGCGTGGCTGGTTTGAGGAGCCTCTGCTGCATTCTAATAAAACAGCCGTCCGGGAGCAGGTGTGGAACCGCAGTCGGGTTCTTTTCTTTCTTTGTACTTGTTGCAGACCTTCACCCCCCCCCCCTTTTTTTTTTCTTTTCTTTTTCCTTTTCGGGGGATGGACGAGTGAAATCCACGCATGGCCTTCAGTGCGCTATTGACATGTCATTGTAGGCCGACTTCCATGTAATCCTTTTGCTTGTCCTGAGGTAATAGTGTCGCGAACGACCGGTTTCTGTTGGAAGCTTTTGAGTGGATGCCGACCTTGCAAGTTCCAAAGGCTGCTCGGAACCTTCTTGAGTGGGTTTGATCGCGAACTGTACCTCTCTCTGCTTGAATTAGAAAAAAAATGGGCTTTAGATTTAAGATTTAAATCCAAATACTGTATGTTGGTAAGTTATCAAGTACCATGTTATTAAATGTAGCCTTAGTTAAAAATGATTGGTGGGATACTCGGTGATGGCCCTTAGGTTACAACAACTGCTAAACGAAGATTTGTGAAGTTATCTTTACTGTTAAATTAAGAGCCTATTTAGGATGAATCTATAGTAAAAAATATTTTCCTTTTTGGACCATCAAGTTTTATATTTAGAATGTGAAAAGGTGATGTTTCAGTGGGGGTTTTTTTACGGGTGTGTTTTTAGAACAGGCCTGTTATTTAATTCGATTTTAAAACAAACTATTTATTTATTATCGTGGTTTTTAGTATCGCCTGTTCACCGCCCTGAGTCCCACAAGGGAGATAGGGCGGTATATAAATTTAATAAATAAAATAAATAAATAAATGTATGCAGCACTATTTGTATACAAATAGATCTATAGGCAATAGATCTATAAGATTGTTGTTTCAGTATTCATGAACACACATAGCAGATAGTTAGGAACCTCTGCTTTGAATTTCATAGCAAATTTTTAGCTGTAACAGAGTAAGTAGACATTATGGAATGGTCATAGCATTAACTGTATTGACGATAGTTGGCTAATTTATTTGTAGTATTAACTGAGAGGCTCCTTAAATTACATACAATAGTTTTGGCTATTTAAAACTTCAGGACTGAATGAACAGAGCATAAAGGATTACAGTATAATGACTTTTAGAGATAATATCCTCATCCCCGTGTTATTAATACTAATTTCCCAAGAAAATATTAATACTTTTTATTTGGTCTTTATAGTGGGATACAAAAAAAACAAAAGTGAAAAAGTAATCAGTTCACCAGAATTCTTCCAGACCTGTGCAAATGATTAGTACATTTTTAGGCTGCTACCAATGTAGATGTAATTCTGCATACTATAGCAGCAAAGTTGAAGCTGAATTGTTAAGATATTAATTTGAAATAGATTCAGAAAGATGGGGAATCATTTCATTGTCCTCATTTGTTTTCAATGTAATTGTATTTGTGTTTTATAATTATTTATAAACTGGCCTGAAAAGGAACTGACTTGTTTAATTGACTTTGTTCACAAACTAGGGCTACAGATCTGGGCTACCAAAAAGTTGTTGCCAGCTAGTGACCTGTTTTTTTGGCTCTAAAGATAATAAATGTGTGCCTTCTATAAGTTTTAATTCCTGGTGATGCTTGGACAAGCCCCTGTAGTTTTCTTGGCTTGCCACTGCCATCTTTCTAGGGCTGAGATAACAACTGGCCCAAAGTCACCCACCTGGCTTTGTGTTTAAAGCAGAACAGGATATTGGAACTCTCCCAATTTCTAGCTTGATACCTTAATTCCTATACCAAATTGTCTCTTTCATGTACCCTGTAGAAATTTAAATAAATAAACATGTTTGCCCATGTCACAGTGAGAAAACCAAATCTCCAATAATAAAAAACAAATGGTTATCTTGGTTTGAATAATTTCTTTTAAATATACCATTAGATTTTATAGTTTGCTAAAGTGATCTTAGGAGAATGCATTGCCATAATTTCAAGAAAAAAACAATAGAGCCTAAATATCAGCATGATTCATTCAGTGTTATGTAAACTTTTTTTTTCAGTAGGATTTTTGCTTACATTCGATCCATGATTTTCCTTAAATTTCCTCCATAAGATTCCTTAATTTTCCAAAAAAGATTTTATGAGAAAAGGGGGAGGATCCGTCCCACAGATATAGTTGAATATAATTCAAGGCATTATTTTCTTTTTTAACAGATTTAGTAAAGTGTTATTTTGGAAAATGAGAAATGCAGACATATTATTTTGAACAGTTTGATCCATCAGTTTATAGATTTTTTAAAATTAGTTTATTTTATTATATCCTTATGTTATTATATCCTTATGTCATGTGGGTTTTTTTCTCCTCCACCCCACATGTAGAGGATACCCTTAATTTTGTTGTGTAGAGAATGCATAGAAAAGCATAGGTTGCCATAATACATTTGACCATAAAAAACATAGTAAAGAATATCATTCTGTCAACATGCAACAAAATTAAATTTTAATATCTCTTCTGAAAATGCGCCTTATAACCACGATTCTGCCATTTCTTTCTTTCTGCTCTTTCACTTCCCATGCGTAACTGAAAGCAGTACCATAAATGTTTTTTGTCAATCATCAGAGAAACAGCACCCATAAGTTGGAATCTTCCTTATTTATATTTTATTTATTTAAAAAATTGCAATAATTTTATATCTATTCTTGAAAGGTCATCCTATACACCTCACTCTATGATTAATGAGCACAACTTGCATTAAATTTTGTAGCATTAGGATTGATTAGACTTTAGATGGAAGACAATCTATAAAATATCAAATTCATAGGAACCAATTAAATAATGATGCCAGAAATCTTTTTAATTTTTTTATGTGCTGAAGCCAAAGTGACTGCTGTTTCAATCAACATGAATATATTATTTATATCAATATTTATATAATGAGAACATGACAGTAATTATTCAGGACAGTAATTGTTTAATCAGTATTCTAGCTGTGCTACTGACTTAAAGCTATTTTAGGTTTGGCCCTAAAGACTTCATTAATTATATTTTCTTAAAGCTAGTTTTGAAATATAACCACTAAATAAAAAATGAGAACAAAATAAGAAAAAACTAGAGAATCTTCTTTTATCATGAAAGAAAAGTAATGATATATTTTTGAATATTGAATTAGCTTGATTATAACATTCTACACACACATACTCAGAAATACATAAATTGAATTTGAATTTGCAATGCCATAAGTTGTTGACCTTAAACACAGATTTTCAATAATATTTTTAGCGTAATTGATGAACTAGATTTAGTTTAAGAATCTGTAGCTATTCATACCAAACTGAAAATTCATTTGAAATAAGGCAAAGAAATATTGTATTAAGGTTCTTTATTTGTATGTGTGTCCTCCAAGTCAAGATATGTTGCCTCATCATGATGGGTGTATAGTTGTTTCTGGGAGAATGGGCTATGAATGCCGGGAGTTTACAACAGTATGATATAGCTACAACATCTGGGATGTGAAGGTCATCCTAGGTGCCCTTTTAAAGCAGGCAGGGATTTATATACGGAAGCAGTCACAAAGAGAAAATGGATGATTGTTTTAGCAACAACTGCAAATGTATCATTTCATACTGTATGGGAAAAGGCAATAGTAGGTCATTCCTGTATTTAACCATGAAAGCCACCTGGATAGACAGAAGGAAGTGATTGATGTTATAATCCCAGATGATGGGAGCCCCATGGAACAAATGGCACTTAACTAAATGGCAGCAAATATGATACTGAGAACAGTTGAGGGTTTTTGAGTACAAATAGTTTTGTGACATGGCTAGATTGAAGCCATGTCTAGTTCTGGGCATCTAGTTGCGGTGAAGTTGCAATGTAAGAAAATAAAATCTGAAACTGAAAACAAAAGTACAATGGGAACATAGAACATAAGAAACACGGGTCTGGAAAATCTCAACACAATGAAACAATGAATCAATTACACAATGCATCTCAGGTATTAATGAATTGAAATAACGAGTTGAATAGTTTCATGTTTTTTTACTAAGGAAATAAAAAAATGGCATTTCTTTCATGGGGATTATCGCAAAGACAATACTGGGGTAGAGTCTAATCCAGTGTTTCTCAACCTTGACAATTTTAAGGCATGTGGACTTCAACTCCCAGAATTCCACAGCCAGCAATGCTGGCTGTGGAATTCTGGGAGTTGAAGTCCACATGCCTTAAAATTGTCAAGGTTGAGAAACACTGGTCTAATCAGTGACAAAATATCTTACACTTAAGAGACAGCCTTGCTTTAATAACTGATGCAGTATAGAGGTTAATGAATTTTATGATCAACTTCAATCTGAAATGAACAGAATGTGCAAACAAGATATGCTGCTTGTGGTTGGAGAATGGAAGAGTTGGAAAAGGAGGAAAACAATGTTAGACTATATGGTCTAGGACAGAGTTCTCCAACCTTTTGGGGAGAGCAGCCCAGAGGGGAGAGCAGCTTCCAAATTACTGCGTGCACATGCACGCACACAAACGGGGACATGCCCATTGGCACAGTACTAGCAGTCGTGCATGCGCTGGTGCCATGCGCATGTGTGAACAGCCAAACCCCCGGGCGGCTAGTGCCCGTTCACGCATGTGCAGATGGGCCGCACACACCCACGCTAGCGGCCTGCTCGCGCATGCCCAAATGGGGCGTGCACGCTCGCTGCACTAGCATTCCTGTTCGCACCCACACACATGCGCAGTTGTGGGCGCTAGCGTGAGTTAGGAATGCGCACCTATGCATGCGCGCCCTGCTCAGCCATTTCTGTGGCCCGCTGGGCTGTGGCCCATAGGTTGGGGACCCCTGGTCTAGGAAACAGAAATGAAGCAGAACAATTTAGTTTTTAACAATCCAATAATTTATTGCTAACACATTCTTCAAACAACCTAAACAACTGCTACACATATGGACATCTCTAGACACAGTACACAAAAATTAAATGGACTATATTAGCAATCATTGGAAAAGTTGTTATAATAGAAAAATGTGGCCAGGGGCTGATCAACTTCTCATGAACAAGTTCCAAGTCATGCTAAAGTGAAAGAAAGCCAAACAGTTTCTACAATATGATCCTGAGCATCTACCCACCATTTTCAAGGATAACATCAAGAATTGCTTTCTAGAATAGAATAGAATAAGAAATAGAATAGTTGGAAGGGACATTGTAGGTCATCTAGTCCAACCCCCTGCCCAAGTAGGAGTCTATACCATTTCTGACAGAGAAAAGACAAGCAGAATTATAATGACATTTGTAAAGATATTGAGGATAGAAACAGATTATGGAAAAACGGCAAGATTTTTGAACCCAGAAGAATATGGTATACTAAAAGATCCCACTTGACAGATGACCAGTTCAAAAATCAGCAAGATGCAAGGACTATACTGAAATTCTATACAACAGGTATATTAGCATCCAAAATACTTTAGATTTTTCCTGTTTATAAGAAACTCTAATAGAAGATGAATTTAGATCACATTATGATCATTGCCACAATAGAAAGCTACAAGAATATATGGCTATCTTCAGAAGTATGGCAATCAACAGAAGAATTTCAGGTTCTGACCCAAACTATGCCACAAAGCAGTTCCAAAATATCTTATTGGGAGGATGTGCAATAAAACCTATTTTTTAGCTCTTTCATTGTATCTATTTGATATACAGTTTGATTTTTTGCAGACTGCACATCATTATTGACAAATTGATGATTAATTCATTTTGCTGTAGATCAGAAATTTAAAAAACATGTTTTTCCCATTTATTTATTTACTAACTTTAGGATGTACACAATTTAAATTTTATATTTATAATACAAAATCTCAAACTGAAGTAGGATTGTCTACATTTTTAAATTTTTGGTAATCAGCTTGGCTGGATACTTACTTCAAAAATAGCTATAGTTGGCATTAATAGATATACCACATTAATATAATAATTATTTGTCTACTTGATTTGTATGCTGCCACAATTAAAAGGACAGCACTTCACGTACATAATCAGAAATTAAATAAAACACCCATGATAAATGAATAATAAAAACAGTAAGAACACAGTAACACAATAGTCATTATGATGTCAGTTCTTTTCTGAAAGACTTTCCAGACCAACTCAATTTTTAGTAGCTTGTGGAAAGGCAATGCTCTCAAAAGTAATAGCAAATCAGTGCAAGGCCCAAAGCACAGATGCAGTATGCTTATATTAAAAGGTTCCCAACCAAGTTCCCAAATGTGCATCAATGGCAGCCCTATATAGAGAACATTCCAATATTCTAGGCATATGGAAATGAGGGTATGAGTTAAGTTCTTTTGGTCCTTTGGCTCCAGGTTAGGGGCAGGATTGGTGCACTTGAAATTGGGCAAAGCCTTCAGCCCTATCCTCCACCTGCTATTTAGTTGTGAGTCCAGGAGGATCCCCAAGTCATCGACCTGCTCTTTTGGAGACTAAAATTAGTCTAGCTTTGCCTTGAATCATACTTTTAAAAAATTCCTTTTGTGCCATTATTTCCAAATAATTTTTATAGCATTCTGGCTACTTCATCAGTGTACTAATTAACTGTATTGTGGGATGCCAAAGAGCTTCATTTTTGTTTGCAAAAATCCTCTTGATAATTAGTGAGCAATATACTATCAGTTCCATTATATTTATTTTATGCACCACTGGTGTGTCACATATAATATAGGGAGTGAGACATCTACATAACTGTTCAATAATAATTATAAATATAGTTAATCAACACTGTTGCTTCTGAATAACTGGAATTTTTGGATTTCTTCCATTTCTTGTTCTAATAAAATACATACGTTTAGCAGCTGTCCTAAAATAACTTTAAACTTGGATTTCCATTGTCCATATTTTAGAATTTATTTTTTCAATGATTTTTACACTTAGAACAATAGTTTTAAAGATCTGGCCGAACTCCAAAACCAGGTCCCTTGGGTGGTTCTGTCAGAGAAGTCAGACTACCAGAAGGCTCACAAGAGAAACGTCCACTTCTGAAAAGAAATAAAAAAATCAATATTAAACATTGTTCTGTATAATTTCAGTCATTCTGAAACATCCACAAAAATCTGTTTCAACTTTTGATGACTTATTTTAAGCATCTTTAGTTCAATACAAGATAGAATGTGATGGAAAGAAATAAAAATGTGGAGTTGGGGGATTTCTAGTTGTCAAATGTACACATATTCTGATTACAATAATGCTTCTTAATGACTGTAATGAAGCCTGCCTATCATAAGAGCTGTAAAGTGGGTCACCACATTACCAACCTAATTTTACAACCTTTTTGCAGTGATTGTTAAGCAACTGTTGACAATAGGCCACTTTGTTGAAAACCAGAAATAAATGCCAGTTGTACATTCCAGCAAATGTGACTGCAGGAAGCTACAAATGTAGGCCAGTTGACTGCCCAAAATATGGTCATATGAACCTGGAGAGGGGGGAGGCTGGCCATTAGAATTGGGTCAGAAATATCCTTGGCAAGGTCCATTGTAACATTTAACAGTTGTTAAGCAACTTGTCATAAATTGAGGACTGCCTGAACAGTGAAGTTCTGCATATGTCTGCTTGAGTGTAATCCCACTGAAATCAGTATGAATTACTTAAGAGTAACTGCACAAGATTAGAATCTATGACTAATAACATCACTTTCTTTTTTCCATCTTGAATACTATCCCACATTTCCTATAGATCAGGGGTGTCAAACTGGTGGCCTGCGAGCCAGATGCGTCATGCGCAGGCCATGCCCACCCTGGCTCCACAAAGGCAAAAAAGTCACGATACGTCACGTGACGCAATCAAGTTTGACACTGGTGTTATAGATCTATCTTTGTTCTTAACAGACACAGCGTTAACATCAAGTAACAAATGAAAATGGTTTCTCAACAACTAAAAAACCCTGAAATTTCAAAAAGCAGAATTTGATGAAAATTAATCAAATGGTGATCACAAATCAATGATGCACAGTGCAGTATACCTATCAAACGCATTTAATTAACTTTTTCCTATACAACATCAAAATATGTTGATAATTGTTGGCTGAAACTTTGATTAGAAAGGTCATATAACATCTGAAATAAATTTGGGGATATAGGGCTACCAAATTAAACTCTTCGCAGAATGTTAGCATATTTAGAAACAAAAATATTTTATACATAAGAAAAGCAGTCTTCTCTCCAATCAAATTTGGCAAATATTTGATATTCATTTGCAAAAATGCCTACAAACACCTTCTTAAAAATTAAGAAGCAGCTTCTTATAGGGCACCATAGCATGGAACATAAAAAGGAAAATGTCTTGGTAATAAGATTTTATATTTAATCTCATACTGAAATATATATCCTGAGAACTTTCTACAGCAGGGACCAGCACTGAGCCACGGCATGCCAGAAACCGGGCCACACAAACAAGTGAAGCCCCATCCACGCGATACAGCCTGCGAAACCATGTCTCCTCCGATCTGCAGAAAAATCTCTCTACAGAACCGGTCCCTGGTGCCCAAAAGGTTGGGGGCTGTTCTACAGGATTGTTTTAGTAGCTTTTTTTCTTGCTTTCTCATGGTATTTATTTTATTATGCAAATAAAATACCTTGGTCCAGGTTTTGGAATATTTCCAGCTTTCAATTCATCAATTATGTTTTCAATGTCATTTGTTGTCAGATCTTCCTGTAAAATTAAATGAAAATATTACACGTATTAAATATATGTCATTTTCTTCATCTATGAGTATGTTTATTGTATTTAACATGTTATAGAACTCTTTTTTTTGCTACAGACTATAAAAATTGTACTTCAGAAGTTATTAGAATATCTTATATTTTATTCCATTTATATGGCTGTCTATCTTTCAATGGTGACTTTCTGTGTTATTCTGAAAATTAAAGATAAACGCATAATGTATTTTACTGTGTCTATATCAAATGCATAGTTAATAATCAGTTATATTAGCAACAGAATACAGTACTGGCAAAATTAGATAGCTGAGAACGATAGATTTCTTAATTGTCCAACTGAAGGTATAAAAGGAAAATTCGAAAATCTGTCTATGTTTATTGTGTCAATTGAGTTGAATTCTACATACTTAGTAAAAAGCATCATACTCTCATTGGAGTACTACATGTGATTTAGCACAGGGGTTTTCAAGCTTTTTCAAGTTATGGAACCAATTAATTTTTTTTAAAAAAAATTCTGGCATTCCCAGACAAGAGATAACACTCTAGTAAGAGAAAATTCGCTATGTTTGAACTTTCCCCCCTTAATGTCTCAAAGAACCCCATCAAGTTCTCATGAAACCTTAGTGTTCTGCAGGATACAATTTGAAAAACCTGATTTAGTGCACAAAAGCAGTCTAGGCAAAACTGCCAACTGAATGAGGAGCAAGAGTTTTACACTGGTATGAAGGGATCACAACATTTCAAGTTGCCATGATAAAATCCTTTATAATGCACGCATGCCAATTAGAATTCAATCACAAAGCTAATGTTTTCACAATGGACAAAACCTCTTGACAAGAAAAAATTATGGTTATTATTGACAGAGATGAATATGCTCTCCTGCAGGAGCCATATTCATGATTTTTCCTTCCCATTATGTTGTCAATCAGTATAGGCATTACCTATATATTCCTGCCTAGTCATAAGGCCAATGACACCAATGACCAATTTGCCCTCAGTGCCAAGACTTTAGGTGTGAATTGTGTTATACAGGTAGTCCTCAACTTACAACCTTTTGTTTAGTGACCATTCAAAGTTACTACAGCACTGAAAAAGTGACACGAGACTGTTTTTCACTTAAAACCATTGCAGCATCCCCATGGTCGGGTGATCAAAGTTCGGACACTTGGCAACTAGCTCATATTTATGAGATCTAGTGTCCTGGGGTCAGGTGATCTCCTTTTGCAACCGTCTGACAAGCAAAGTCAATGGGGAAGCCAGACTCACTTTACAATGGTGTTACTAAGTTCAAAACTGCAGCGATTCACTTAAAACTGTGGCAAAGTCATAAAATGGGGCAAAATTCACTTGTTTACCAATAGTTGGGCTCAGTTATGGTTATAAGTTGAGGACTACCTGAACCTACTTTAGAGAGTACCTTAACCAGACTGTTAAGTATACTTTGCTCCTCATCGAGGCAATTTTTGCTGCTATTATTAGACAATGAAATTTGTTGGGTCAAGACTTCTAAGGTTTCTCTAGTGGCCTTTCTGCTTATGAATGTTCTTGAAGACTACTTGGTAAGGATCAAATAACTAGTAAAAAGGCTTGATTTAAATCAACTCGATTTAAATCATAATTTTTAAAGGGCAACTGTCGTCTCTGTCCCGCAGCGGCTCCTCCTGACCCGCTGTTGACTCACCGACAATCCCATTCAGTTTAATGGGACAGCTGGTGATGCGGCAGTGACAGAACAAGGTGAAGGAGGACGTGGCGGGTAGCAGGTGAGTGGATGCCCACTAACAGGCGCTTCCATGATGGATCTGAAATGACAGGTGCTCTTTAAATGGAAGGACTCATTCTTGCTGGTAGTTAGAATCTTTAATATTATTTGCAAACAAAATGAGGGTTTCCTATTTAGAATAATAAGCTGTCAGGTTAGGTTAATAGTTTAATCACACATAGTTGGAAAAGTACTCAAATTCTTTTATTTAACTAAAACACTTAGAGCCTGGCACAGATGCATTTCTCTTCAAACAATCATACAGTTTGTAATGTACATAGATTTGCAGAACAATGGGATAAAGGAATATTCCTGAACTTGTTTTATGATTTATCTCATGGTTACTGTTAAATTGTGTGAATGCATCAATGCAGTGCATGTTATCTCAGCAGACTGTGGATTCATTGAATGAGTTTACCAAAAACCTAAATATTGCAGAATATACAGCCTCATGCTACATGACTAAGGTCCATTTCATGCTGAATAAACTAAATTATTAATGTATCTTAAATAGAAAACTATATTTAGATAGATTTTTACACCAAAAGCATTTTATTAAAATAAATTGGATAAAAATAAAAAAATCAATTTAAATAAAAAAATCCATTTTTAAAAAATTATCGATTATTATCCACCCTGGTAAGGATCTAAGCTGTGTTAGTTCGCCTTAGCTTCCTCTCTTCTAGGTAGATTTGTACTTAGGCCTAGCCAGTCGGTAAAAAGGAATAGGGAACTGGTTATAATCAACAACTGGACAGATTTGCAAGTGTTCTGTTTGTTGAAGAGGTGTCTCTTTTAGTGTGATTATATCATTTACTTCTAACTTTATTTTAGTTTTGATACAGTTCTGGGGATTTATTTATTTGTATTTGAGTGCATTGTAGGTGTTTCTTATAACTCATTTATTTTTATTTTTTTTGCCACAAACAAAAGTGATCGTTGATAACAATGGGAGGGGGGAAAACAAAAATCCTTTTTTGAGGCAATTTATTTTTTAAATCAGTTAAAGCTTTAAAATGTAACTGTGGTTGCTTAGCACATCAAAATTTACCTGGGATGTCTGCATGAGATTATAATTTTTGATGATGCATTGGAAAAATTGTTACATCTATTTCAGGGCTTCAGAGACAGAATGCAAGCTGGGTTAAAGGGCAGAAAATATCACGAATGAAGGCAAATATACGTGTCCCAAGATAATGTTACAAGTTCAAATCTGGGTTAGTCGCCAGGACCAAAGGTTTAATCTTCCGAGCTTTTGGACTTGTGCTGGAGCCCTTCCTCAGGAAACTTCTCGCTCACCAGAACGAGTCTTTTGAGCTATTCTATGAGTTGTATTTATGTGGTGCCTTCCTATTGGCTGATTGGTGTGTTGATGGCTGGTAATTGGCTGTTGTTTCTTTGTGCTGCCAAAACTACAATGTGATTCCTGATGAGATCATGGTCTCCTCTGACATAGTGTCCCTATTTACATCCCTCCTCCTCACTTAGCATACAAACAATAGATAAAAAACCAGAAGAAGAGTACAACACAGATCAAAACAATCTAACCAGGATACAAATCAGGAGGTTACTCCAGTACTGCATACCTTCTTCATGTTCAAAAGAGAAATGTATGAGCAAATAAAAGGGACACCCATGGAATCCCCAGTATCAGGAGTCATTGCAGAAACTGTGTGAATTAGAACATCATACATTTTAAAACTACACATCTAAATTTTGGTGCCATAACGTAGGGGACACATTTGTCATCATCAAAAGAAATGCACTGAAAGACTTTCATGCCCTACTGAACTCCATCTTCCCAGACATACAATTCACAATGGAGGAAGAAACGGTAGACAACTATCATTTTTAGATGTGTTTGTCAACAGGCAGGAAGATGGAAGCCTAGAAACCACGGTTTATCACAAGAGCACCAACACGCCACATATACTTAGTTTCAACAGTAACCATCCATTGTCACACAAAAAGAGTTGTGTCAGAACACTATATGGCAGGGTGAGAACTCGCTGTAGTACAACGCAAGCTAACTGGAGAAAAGTTACCTACGTGAACAATTCAGGCAGAATGGGTACCCACAAACATTTATTATAAGATGCCTGCAGAACACGCAAAGAAGAAAAATGAAGAAACAAGGTATAAGACCAATTATATAGCACATCCTGTCATATATCAAAAACATTTCAGAAGCAGTAGAACATAGCTTCTGACATCTGAAAGTGGGCATTGCATATCGCCTAGAGGCTACCATAAGAGGACAAATCATGTATTGCAAAGATCACTTGAAGGTGGGAGATACTTCTAATGTAATCTACCGGATCTCCTGCATGGATTGCCCCATGATTGTAGGATGGACAGAGAGATTGCAAGAACACAAGCAAGTGGTCAGAAAAGTAGACTCAAACTCATCGGAAGTCTCGCACAGCAATGAACAAGGACATATATTCCATTTTGCAGCTACTAAGATTGTTAGCTGTGCAGGTACAAAGATAGCCAGGGAAATGATTGAAATCTGGGAAACAGGCCCCTTCCTTCTTGAAAACGTATTGAACTTTTTCTTTTTATCATGATGGAACAACAAATGAAATATTGAGAACCACTAATCTAATTCATATAAAATTAATTTCAGTAAACTATTCTGTTCATTAGAATATTGTATGAAAACCCATACGATAGAAACTCTTTGTCATTTATGCTAATTTAATTTTTCTAGGCAACAAACATATACAAAATGGATACACTGAAAGATCTAAGGCTTATTCCTACTTACATAATAGTTGTCATTTATTTGTACCATTGGTGCATTTACACAGGCTCCCAAGCATTCAACTTCAGTTAGAGTGAAAAGTTTATCAGATGTAGTTTCCCCAACTTTTATACCTGAGGCAAGACAAATTAGTTTGATTTATAATAAAGCAAACTGCAAAAATGAAAACTTTATGGCTATTTGTCTCAATACAATGTTCCAAAACAGATTATAGCAGTTTGTATAATACTTAGTTTGGATTTACTGTATTAAATTGGCATATATGTTTCCCAATCTGTTCTCGCCACGAGTTGCAATCCTGTTTATAGGAATGTATGGGTATATAGCTGGCTGTTAGATAATATAATGAGCCAAATGTTATCTTAAATGAAGGTATTAATTTTATTTCATAAACTTCACAAAAAACTATTGTGTGGGTTGGGGGAAGAATAAAATAGTATCTTAAATTTCAGCAAGCTTAAACGTATGCATCTTGCCCTTAAGGAGTCTCACACCACAAAAAGCCAAAATGTTGGTCTCATCTTCTCAAAAATTGGAAGTAGGAGCTGGAAAAAGATGTTGATAGTACAGCTACATTTTAAAAAGCATCATCAAGTAAAATCAGCTTTATTATAGCCATTTCAATGGAAATATCAGGTCACCATTTTGGCTTTTTTTTTTTTTTTTAAAGAACTGATTTCATCATGACTGTTCATTTTTTCAAAAAAACATTAAAAGGTAGTGTCTGAGTTTCTTATTTTTGTTTCTCTTCCCTATTCTGTTTTATGTTAAAAATATTCAATTTTTATTATGGTCATAGATCAGCACAAAAAATTAAACATTAAAATAAAGCAAAACGGAACAAAACCAAACAGAACAAGATACAATAATATATTACAATTGATAGTGAGATCATCAATGGGTGATCAAGGTCTACCTAATTTTATTGACAGTGTAATAAAACTTAGTTATATTCAAGGAAACTAAATTGTACTAATGCGACAATAGTAGTTGTATACAAAAAAGATCAGGATATTTCTGGGATATTTAATCAGATAAGGTGTTATAAGATGGGTCTGTAATTCTCTATGGGGGAGGTTGTGTGTTAGTGTTTTGACTTTCAAGCTACAAGAGCAGAGGTTTTTGTTTTCATTAATCTCTATCTTGTCTTTAAATTCTTTCCAAATGAAAGGGGAGAGTGCGCTTTAGTGCTGTGCAAGTGGAGGTGGGTGGAGCACACTATGGGGAAGTTGCAGATATGCACTACTGGGATACCTGCAATTCTTTCCAGGTGGGCAGTGCAGTATGAAGCAAAGGATTCCTGGGGGGGGGAGGGGTTGGAGAGGCCCTGAAAGGCCCCATGCAAGATGCATGCAAATGTCTTTCCCCTCAGGCTAAAAAACCTGCTTGGTTTTTTGGCAGAGAGGATTTTCAAGGCCTGAGTGGGTCCTCCCAGGGTCTCCCCTACACCCTGAGGCATCCCACGCACCTTACCTGTGACTCCAATCACTTAACAACCTGCTAGATTGCTCAATAATAACTGGGAGTCCTGAGATTGCAGTCACTGAACAATCTTGTAATATCTCATTCAACAATCACTTCACTGAGTGAACAATATTGTTATAAGTCAAGGACCACCTATATTCTTAATTACCTCCCATAACTTCTGTTCTCAAATTACTGGCTTCTTTTCTCTCAGGCTCCTATTTCCTTTCCCCCCTTTTCTTAGCTATAAACCAGCCTCTCAGGCTATGCAGCTCCACCATCAACAGCTAAAAAAAATCCTGTTGTCCAGTTCTAAAGGGTACAAGGGTAACTGTTGTGATCACATTTCTTTGCAAATATGCTTTTCAGAGTACAAATATAAATTGGATTAAGTAAGAAAAGTCAATACAACAAGAACACGCTCATGATACAGGAAAATTAAGTGCTGTTTCATACCAAGCTTCTTCTGAATGGCTTCTAATATACTATCTGAATCTTGAAGCATGCAAGGTGTGGTAGTGCAGATTTGAATATGATATTTCCCAACAGGCTTACGATTAAACATTGTATAAAATGTTGCTACTTCATAAACTCTCATAGGAGGCATTTGTAGAATGTCAGCAACCTATAAATAGAAGATCATTTTTATTTGAATAATATATTTACACATATTGCTATTTTTAGCAGAAGCAATAAAAATCTCACAATGTCTTAATTTTCCTAAATTATAACTCACAGAATTCTTGCAGAATACAACGTGAAGTTATTATCTGAATATTTTTAAGACTGAAAAACTTCCTTATATAACCTGACAACACTCTAAATTATTTGTTTTAAGAGAGGTACCTAATGAATATTAAAATTATTTTGTGTTAATATAGTTATTGTTCAGTTAAATGTATGCTAAATTATCAGATTAAAGAGAAGTACCTTATTCATAGCCGATATAGGTAACCATCCATGTTGTCTTTGAGCTAAATCCAGGACTGGGATTACTGCCGAAGATTTATGTCCTTCTGGGTAGTTGTTTACTATTACATCTATCCTCTATTAAAGAAAATAAATATTACAATAACCAATTTTTATTGAAATAGAAATACAGCATTTCATCCATCAAAACATGAAAGGTCATCAAAAAGCAACTAAAATGGCATAAAAGGCAAAGTAATTTAAAAACAAAATAAAAAACATACCTTATAATTTTCAGGAGTGAAATCAAATGGGGTACTTGGATTGTTTTCAGGAGTATCTCTGTGCTGTACAAATTACAATAAAATAATGAAAAATGCACAGAAAACAAATTTCAGATAGTTACATATAGAAAAATTATAGCTCTTGTATCTTAATTATGATACTTCATGAGAGATTCCTCTTATGAAGATATGAAAAGTTCTAATAGCAGCTGAATTATAGGAACCATCTTCTATGCATCATCAGTCTACTCAGTAGTTCAGAAATAAAATGTTGCATCACGCTATATCAAACGGGATATGAAAAAAGCGTACTAGTGAATACTTTGATCATAGTTTCAACGTGTATGTTTATTATGTAAGCAAATTGCATTATGAAAATAACTTTGCAATAACTGGATGCAGAATTGAAAAATAAAAGTTTATGATAACCTATACAGTTGCATGCCATTTAACTGATCACCTAAAACTAAAAATTATTGTACCCAGTTAAATATTACAGTACAGGTAATCCTTAAGAAACGACAGGCCATGTGACAACTGTTCAAAACAACAACCAAACACCCCAAGTGTACCTACAAACCTGTTTCTTCAAAGTTACAACAGATGCAGAGCTCCCGCAGTCATTCGTACTTACGATAGACCATGGGGATTCTGCAGCACCTTTCCCTGCCAGGTCTTCCCCCCCATCCCCTGCAGCATTAGGCCTCCCAATGACTCTTGGAAGCAGTCACATTTTCATTACCCTTAAAATGGCGGCTGCTTTCCAAGTGTTCTGCACCTGTCTGTTGACCCTGATCAGCTGACAAGAAGGGAAGCTGGAAAGCTCTCCCACCTCTCTAGGCTTTGGGAAGCCAGCCCTTGCAAAAAAAGGCAGCTTCAGGATGAGCTTCCCAAAACCTTTTCCTTACTTACTCCCCTCTCTACCCCCCTGCCACATTTTTTCGGAAACAAACAAACAAACAAAAAGCAAACGAGTGATGACCATGCTATATGGAACACTTGAGATTTAAAATTTAAATGGAATGAACGAGGGCTATACCTGTGGTGGCGAACCTATGGCACGCGTGCCACAGGTGGCACGCAGAGCCCTCTCTGGGCACACGTGCCATTGCCTCAGTCCTAGGCCTTCAGCTGGGTTTTATAAAACCTTTTCGCTTTAGGCCTCCGCCGCCATGTGCAAAAAAAAAAGGTTCAATTAATCAATTTCAACTTCCCACGGTCAAAAAAAAAGATCTCGCAAAGTTGGAATTGATTGAACTTTTAATCACACCTAGTCTGCCGTTAGCCCCGCCCAGCCAATGGGCCCCGCCCAGCCAATGGGCCCCGCCCAGCCAATGGGCCCCGCCACCCGACCATACATAAGTGGGTTTTGGGTTGCAGTTTGGGCACTCGGTCTCTAAAAGGTTCACCATCACTGGGCTATACTGTATTTTTCTGTAGCTAAGAAGAGGAGATGGATATAACATATGAATAAAGATGGTTTGAACTTGTGGACTGTACTGATGAAGGCATGTAGGGAAATGAAGGTTTAATTACGAACAAAAAAGCTGAAATATGTTTAAAATGACTCGGAAACATTTAGACTGTTAAGGAAACCTATACAGGCAGTAATTTGTAGTTAGTGATAGTTGCATGTTACACTCCACTGAATGGGGCTAGTGAAAGAACCATGTGTGAATTTCAGGAGAAACTTCCCACAATATTTTGATTAAGAAGATCTAACATTACTTGGTTAGGTAACATGAATGGAAAAGTATTAATGCCAGTGTATGTTAAAACAGGGGTCCCCAACTCCCGGTCCATGGACTGGCACAGGGCCGTGGCATGCCAGAAATTGGGTCGCACAAACAAAGCCCCATCCGCGGGATGCAGGCAGCATGCAAAACCATGCCCCCTCCAGTCCATGGAAAAACCTCTCTCCACGGAACCAGTCTCTGATGCCCAAAAGGTTGGGGACCACTGTGTTAAAAGACACTGAACCATCCAGGAATCCAAGATGGAATGAGAATTGTGACTGGTGAATATCTGCTTAGAAAAGTATTGATTTGTTTGGAACAGACATGTCAAACGTGCGACGTCACGTGATGTCGCGCAACGTATCGGGACGGTTTTGCCATTGCCGGCAATGGGGTGGGTGCAGCTTCCGCGTGACACGTCCGGCTTGCGGGCCGGTTGTTTGACACCCCTGGTTTAGAGTATATAGTTAAGAACTCGTGTGTAGACATGAAAAAGGAATAAATATGAATTTTAAAATATGATGGATCTGACAGTTTGTAATGGAAGTTTAAGAGTGAAAGATACACGGGTGACAGGAAATTCTGAATATGGGACAGATTTTTTTGTAGAGAGAAATGATTAAAGGAAGGAAATTAAAGAAATAAAAGTGAAAGTACAAAGAATGTGACGAGACGGTACTAGTCCTATATAAGAAGTATTAGTAAACATATTAATTTCCTAATTAAATGTAAGGAAAAAGGATACAGAACTGTTTGGAATAAAGAATACACAGTACCACAAATGTAAGACATATACAGGACGATGCCAATAGTGAAAAAAAGAAAATTTTCATATTTTTCTGAAGAGAAAACTAGCAGAAACTTTAAAGTTTTAGATGAACACTGATGGGAGTGGGGAAGGTCGTCTAATCAAATATTTTCTCTTTGGAATGACCAAAATGCTTTTTAACACAATATTTTAAACCCAAAATTTTAATGTTTATATACAATCAATTTATACTGCTAGAAATTAAATGTTATTATAAAGTTTAATTTAACAACTAAATATGCTGCTAATCCTCAATACATACTGTAACAACACCACACTAATTGTTCAATAAGTACACTTTTTAAGTTACAAAATATGTTTTTTAATTAAGTATGTATATATGTTAGTATTTTATTCAATTGTCAGCCGCCCTGAGTCCGTAAGGAGAAGGGCGGGATATAAATGCAATTAATAAATAAATAAATAAATAAATTTTTTATTTCCAACTTTCTTTCCTACTTCACAGTTGACAAAAACAGAAATCTGGTCAGGTAAACTTATGCATTCTGTATATGTCATTTTGTGTATGTAAAACTAATGCAGGAAACCTATACACGGCTGCTAAATAGGACATATGTGTATATAACAGACAAGCATTTATACTTTGGGAGCTGATACATGCTTGTTGGAAATATATTCCACTAGACCAGTGGTTCTCAACCTTTTTAATGCCGCGACCCCAACCAGTCGTAAGTCGAGGACTAAACCGGTCGTAAGTTGAGGACTAAACCGGTCATAAGTCGGGGACTAAACTGGTCATAAGTCGAGGACTACCCAACCGGTCGTAAGTCGAGGACTTTCCCTGCCCGGGAGCGCCGCACATGCGTGGTTCCGCCCCCTGCGCCGGCCGAGGTGTAGCTGGCAAGCGGCAGAGATGGAGCAGGCCGACCACCAGCTGGCCCAGCCCAAGGGAGGTAAGGCACCCGCCGGAAAAGGGGAAAAAAATGGCGGACAAAAAAAAATGGCGGACAGCCTTGCTTGGCAACCCCCGTGAAATGGTCGATCGACCCCAAATGGGGTCCCCACCCACAGGTTGAGAACCACTGCACTAGACAAAATAAGCTTTTCTAAACATGATAGCTCAGTAGGTTGATATGTTTAACAAGAACAGCAATCATATATGCAATCACCTACAAGACTATGTATAGCAGTTTTATTATTACTAATAGAAATGAAGTGTAATGTTGTTATAAATACTGTTAACAAATTGCACACAAATAAAAACCACATTTTTTCCATTTTACTAAACATTTTATATAATCATTTATGCAAACTACTTACCACAAACAGAGTTCCATCACTACTTCTGCATTCTGCTGATGTATGAAGGCAGCGAAGATTTGTCATCTACAAATATTTCATATAAAGCAAATAGTTTGTATTTGCAATTACAGTTAAGAAATTGAGCCAACCTTAAATTATGCTTAAATCCTTACTGAATTAGATGGGTCTATTTAAAGTTACTGTACTGCTGATAATCTGTCTGCACTACATATAAACCAAAAGTATATAATATTAAATGAAAAAGTAGGTAATAATATCTGTAATAATATGTTTATAGAAAAAATAATGAAGTAGTGGAAAACAGAATTGGTGGTTGGAAATATTTCCTGCTGATAAGAGCAGTTCAATTATGGAAGACTCTAGTTAGGAGATGAGTGGCTCTCTCCCTGGATGCATTTAAATAAAGGCCATCAGTCAGATGTTTAGGTGGATTTCTGCAGTGAGCAGGAAATTGAAGATGATCTCTAAGGTCTTTCCAATCTGTACATGTTAACTGAAAATATTAAGTCAGATATCACAAGGATCACGCCTGGATTTTTTTGAACATTTTAATATTTATAAGGAAATGCGTATCAAAGTTGTGCATAACACTCAATTTAGGTAAGATATCTATGCTAATTTCTTAGAAACCAGAAATCAAATTCAACCCAACATTGCCACATTTACAAGCTGAAAATAATAGAATGGAATAAAATAAATGACTTGAATGAAATCTATCAGAGAAAATTGTAGAGAGTTTTGTTTAGGTAACAAAAATTAAATCAGAAGGAAAAAGTGCTTTACTTGTTTTGATAAGAATTCTTGTGAAATATAATCTTGGAATAATAACAATATGATCTGACAATAAAAAAAAGAAAGTACAGTTTTAGATCTCATCAACAGAAATAAAATTTCCAAACCTAGGAAGTTAAGAATTCCACTTTTAATTGTGCTCAGTTGTTTAACCCATTTTAGTGTGCTCAGAATAAAGTATCTCAAGTGTTTAGTTCTAGGCACACTCCCCTAAAAGATTCTGACGAACTGAATAAATTCAGAGAATAGCAATGGGATGATTGGCAGACTAAAAAGTTAAGTCATATGGAGAGAGATTGCAGGAGTATAGTACATTTAGCCATGAGAAAAGATAGCAGGAATGGGGTGAGATGGTAGCTTGATCTGGAGGTTTTTTTGTTTTTTACCAAATTTATGAAAACAGTAACACAACTGGCAAAAAGATTCTTAGATTAATAAATGCATCCAGACCATCTAATTTATCTTAATTTCTATTTCTGCACTTATTGAAGGGCTAATAATTAACCTAAATGACCTCTTCAGTTCCATGAAATAATCTATGCTTTGGTAGCCTCCATGCAAAAAACAATATGCAGTAGATACAACAGATATTCAACCAAATGTACAGGAATTAATGTTTAAAAACAATGTTGGTGCAGCTATTAGCCAGGTATATAGCTGATTGACATATCATTTTGATCAAGGAAACATTCTACAAGATATGACTGCTATATTAATGGACTTATTTGAAATTTTGACAGTATCCTGGGTAGCAAAAGTTTTCTGGAATGGGCAGAGTCCATCTAAAATAATCAGGTCATACAAATTCAAAAATAATGTATGGTGTACAAATGTAAACATATTGCTCACTTCTTGTCTGGCATACTATTCTTTTTTCTGTTTATTAAAAAAAATAAGGATAGAATCAGGAAGTGCTCAATATCTTGGACTTTATGAAAGGAAAGATGCACAGAGTAAACCTTTTGATTTTTGTATTTCTAACTCTTGATCTGTAAGAATCAGGCTTCATTCAGAAATTAATATTCATATATTTTCCACACCAATGTTACCTGATAATGTAGGATAACAGACCATAACAGTTTCAAATACGCGTAACTATCCAACTCAAATTTATGTAGAAAACGCTGCCTACATTAATACAACTTCAGCGCCTGTGTTCCGTTAATCAGCTACCGTATAGTTTAACGCGGGAGGAGCTTTGTGGAAGCCAAGAGGTAGAAAAACTGTTCGGGCAATCATGAAGATTGCAAATTTCGGTCCTATGCCACCATCATCTAGTTCAGTGGTTCTCAACCTTTTTAATGCCGTGACCCCAACCGGTCGTAAGTCGAGGACTAAACTGTTCGTAAGTCGAGGACTACCCAACCGGTCGTAAGTCGAGAACTTTCCCTGCCCGGGAGCACCGTGCATGCGTGGTTCCGCCCCCTGTGCCGGCCGAGGCGTAGCTGGCAAGCGGCAGAGACGGAGCAGGCCAACCACCAGCTGGCCCAGCCCAAGGGAGGTAAGGCACCTGCCAGAAAAGGGGAAAAAATGGCGGGGAAAAAAAATGGCGGACAGCCTTGCTTGGCGACCCCCATGAAATGGTCAATCGACCCCAAATGGGGTCCCGACTCACAGGTTGAGAACCACTGATCTAGTTCAGTGTTTCTCAACCTTGACAATTTTAAGGCATGTGGACTTCAACTCCCAGAATTCCACAGCCAGCAATGCTGGCTGTGGAATTCTGGGAGTTGAAGTCCACAAGCCTTAAAATTGTCAAGGTTGAGAAACACTGAACTAGTTCGACATATACGAATTAGCATAAACAGAACGAATCTGAGAATGAAGACGGACTGATTTTCGGAGCGAGATGAAGGCACAAATGGTTCGCTCCGCATCCATCTTCCCCTCGCTTATCGGGTTTAGGCCCACCGCTTCTAGCAAAGTAGCGTTGCTCTGACACCCAGCCTGCCCTACTGCTCTCTTCGCTTCTCCTCCGCCAAGGAAGTGAGGTACAACAGCCCGAACCTCAGGCTCCTCCCCTTCCCGGAGAGGAAGGCCACTATGCCCTTGGCGGTTCTTAACTCTCCCCCGAGATCGCTAACGGCGCCCAACTTGCTCCTTTAAGGGCCCCCAACTTTTCCTGCCCCCCCCTCCTTACCAAGCGCGGAAAGGCGGTCCGAAAACGAACAGAGAACCACATGGCAGCAGCCGCCCTCACCGCCACCTCAACCCAGCTCGCCCGCTCTCAAGAGTCCAGAGACTCACTACCCTGGGCGCTCTCGACGGCGCATGCGCAACCGCTGCAGCGAAAACAGCCGGCCTCTTGGGAGTGCGCGAGGCGCGCGCTCTTTTAGGACCATTATTATGAGCGCGCGCGACGCTAACGGGTGGAGCGGTGCTGTAGAAAACGCGAGGTTTTCCTTTCAAAAGTGTAGCTGAGGACCGTGGAAGAGATCAGATACGGATCCTGGCAGTCTCATTTTCAGCCTGAAGTCCTGATGCATGATGCATGATGCATACTTTTAGGCCAGGGGTTCTCAACCTTGGCAACTTTAAGACTTGTGGACTTCAACTCCCAGAATTCCTCAGCCAGCTTTGCTGGCTCAGGAATTCTGGGAGTTGAAGTCCACAAGTCTTAAAGTTGCCAAGGTTGAGAACCCCTGTTTTAGGCTTTCTGGCTTTTTTAAAACAGTCCCTGCTCGCAGAACCACAAGAGTGTCTTCCTGTGCCGTTTGAATCTGCGCTTGAGATGTTCATTAAAAGTTGTAGCAGCCGAGAAAAGGACCGATTTCATCTCTCCCCATTCATTAAATGCCAGTAATAAGGGCGGTAAAGAGGACACAAAGAGACAGAGCAGTAAATCGGGCAAATATGGCATTTAGGTTCATCATTGTACATAGAAGCTGACTGGAGCAGAGATACATGTTTATTGTAGTGTAATCCTGTGTAAATGATGTAAATCCATCTAAAAAGAATTTAGGAGAACTTACATAAGAAATTGAGAAGAAATTTAGGAAAACGTACAATACAGTTCTAGCCTGCATCAACAGAGGGATAGTATTAAGATTACCAGAAGTTTTAACACTGCTATATACTGCTTTGGAAAACCCCACCTGGAATACTGCATCTAATTTTGGTCGCCACAATATAAAAAAGATGTTGAGAGTCTAGAAAGCTGCAGAGAAGAGCAGCAAAGATGATTAGGAAATGAGACTAAAACATGATGAATATTTGCAGGAACTCTGGGTATGTCTAGTTTAAGAGGATTAGGGTGACATGATAGCAGTCTTCCAATATTTGAGGGGATGTCACAGAGAAGAGGGGGCAGGACAAGAAGCAGAAGATGAAGTAATGAGAGATCTAACCTAGAATTAAAGACAAATTTCCTGACTGCCAGAACAATTAACCAATGGAAGAGCTTTGCCTCCGGAAGTTGTGGATGCTCCATCACTGGAGATTTTTAAAGAGATTGGAGAGCCATTTGCCTGGAATGCTATAAAGCAGGGGTCCCCAATCCGTGGCCCACTACCTGGCTGCGGCCTATTGGACACAGGGCTGCGTGAGTGGCTGGCTGGTGTGTGTGTGTGTGTGTGTGTGCGTGCTTGTGTGCTGGCTGGTGCATGCATGTGTCCAGCCCCACTTGCATGAGTGTTGCCAGCATTCATGGCCCCACTCTGCGTGCACACTCATGCATACATGCGTTCACCCCCCAAAAAACGATCCCTTCTTTCCCCCTCTCCCCCACTTCAGCCGCCAATCCCAAAAGGTTGGAGAACTCTGGTATAGAGTCTCCTGTTTGAGCAGGACTAGAAGACCTCCAAGTTCCTTTCCAATTCTATTATACTGTATTCTGCATATGGTTTTTAGAAGGGGCAGGCAGTTTGGCATCCCATGGCTGCATGTTGCCTCTGGTTCTCATTTGGGGGGCTGTTGAAGACACCTTTGATAAAAGTTACAAAATCAGCATCATCCTTTCTTCCTATTTTGAGATGTGAACAGAACTATTGTAATTTAAGTCCTAAAATATGCTTGGCATCATTTAAAAATGTATCTGTATAAAGCATATTATTCCAGAAAAATGTTGGACCATCATTGGAATGTCCAGATTAGGGTAATAAAAATGAGGAATGAAAGATTCAAGCTTTCTGAAATGTTTTAGTTCAAAAACTATACATTTTTTATCCATCACTTTAAAAAACAACACTTTATTAACCCTTTCATAAAAACTAGGATAACCCCCAGTTCCTATCTTTGCTTGTGGGTATATCATATGAAAGCTTTTTGTAAAGTACTTTTTATAAAAATTAAGTATGCTTCTTAGTCACCTAAAGGTCACCCACCCATAATATATAGGATTGCACCATCAGCATATGAATATATGCATTCTAATTATGAGAAAAAGCAATCTCACCTTTCCATTAGGTAAATATGGTATTATTTAAATCATTATTGATATTCCCACTACCCAAAACAAATTAGCAAAGTATTACAAACAGCAGATAACTTGGTAGAATATGAGAATTCCATTTCTCAAATAATGTTATTGTAACTCAACTCTATGGGAGGTTAAACTTTTTAAGTTTAAAGATAGTTGATTGAAAATATAGGAATAATAAAATAGACCTGCTTTGACTAAAATGATAAGGCTGTTGATCAGATTTAAGTGGCAACTAAGATTGACTTTAATGTGAACCATTAATGTAAGATGAGAAACAAATTGGTTTGCAAATGAACAAATAAGAAATATTTTATCATAATGTATCAGTTAATTAAAGGATTTAATGAAGAATTAACTTGTTCTAGTAAAAATACGGGTATAGTATTTATCGACTGCCATCTTCTGGACAAATGCATGAAGCACTCAATTTTGTGTGTGTGAACAGTTATGTGTATGAACAGAATTAGGATGATTAGCTACCATATTTCTGAATTTCAATTATTTATTCCAGTTTAAATTTCCAGTCTTTTCTTTTGATTACATAAATATTGTGCAGAAGGCCTACAGGATTTCAAAAGAGAGCCACAGTCATTATTTTACCAACAAGGTATGTAAGGACATGTATGTCTGTATATATTACCTTACATCCATATGCTTATCTGAAAAGATTCATTGTGGGACTACTTTTAATCTATTTGTTTATTCCTTATTACTGCAGAATTTTGTTTAGCCAGGAGTAATGGAAGTGGATTTTCTAAAGGCCCCTAGAGTTCAACCCAAATTAAGTTTTCTGCCAGTCAACCAGACATGCATGCAAGGCATCTGCTGGTATTGTCAAAAAGTCAAGATGGTGGCCATTGTTCTGGGATCAAAGCCCTGCTCCCAGTGGGTGAGGTTTTGATCCTACAGTTGTGATCATTATCTTGCTTTTGAGAGGTGTAGTTTTGATCCCATGGTCATGATCACCATTTTCACCTTTTTGACCTCTGCAGACCCACCTGCCTTCTTGCCATCCTCCTTCTAGAGCACAAGGGTGCTGGTTTCTTTATAAGAGTGAACTGCTTGCTACAAAGGATATTTTTGGCCTCCTGGGGGAGACTGGAGTGTTGAGGTGGTGCACTGATTAGGGTTGAATTTAGGAATAGGGAGCAAATCAGGTTACAAGAGGATGGAAAACAATGATGGCAGAAGAGAGAGCCCAGGGGCATAAACAATAATGGTGTGTGTACATCAGCCTCAAGTGGCCAATAAGTGCTGAATTGTTCCCACTTGGATGGCCAATTGGCTGCATTCCTGACAGAATAATCTGTAAACCACTGTTCCTTTCTCTGTCTACAAATCTTAAAGTTGTCAGGATTGAGAAACTCTGGTGTAAAGTACATCAGACTTCACATACTTCGGAATTGCTGAAGTATGCTGCCAGCTCTTAAGGGTTACATACTAGTACTAAAACAGTTAAGGGTGATGAACAGTTGTTAACATATGGGTATAGTCATGGAAATTTGACAGCATAATGCAGTTGCTCTGGCATGGGATTAGCCTATGTGTATTTTGTGAACAAAGAGTAATGTGGACCTGTACATGTAAATAGGATTTTACATAATGCTCTGCTGGATGAATGTATTTCTATCTTTTATCACTGTGTACCCATAATGGGGGGAGGGGAATATGAGTTTGTGGGAGAGCTGTAACCTTTCAGATGTTACTCCAATTGGTCAAGTTGGCTTGAATTTCTGGGAGCTATAATTCAGCCATCATAAATATTCCCTATCATTCAAATTCAGGATATGCTGTTGATATTAGCATTTTTTGTAAGATTGGTTATTAAACCAGTAGATGGCAGTGTTGCATCCCCTTGCAGGGAATGAGACTCACTGATATGTACACTTGCTAATGGGAAAGTATAATTGCTATTAAATTTATTTACCAGACATTTATACACACATACATTTATACTGAGGTCAATCAATCTGAATTTGTATCAGTTCACTCTTTTCTTATGATAATCCCTAAACAGTTACATGCAGTATAAACAAATGAAAAAAAACACCTCCATAAATATAAGACAGACATATATACAAATAAAGATTGGGACAAATAATTCCTCCAATTCTTCATTAAAAGTTAAATCAGTCTCATAATACTATACCATAAACCTGAAACCAAGTACATTTCAATTATAGTGACATATAGAAATTATCTTACACAATTCATTTATAAAACAGGAAAACCAGGTTTCTATTTTGCTCAGTATAGGGCTATGCTCTAGATCAGGGGTGTTAAACTGCCAGCCCGCTGGCCGGTTTCATCAGACTGAAGCCACGCCCATCCCATTGCCGGCAATACAAAAAAAGTCGCGATATGTCGTGAGACGTCACGTGAACATGGCGAGTTTGACATCCGTGCTCTAGATGTTTGTACCGCAAATGTAATTGAAGTTGTAAGTATAACAATTTTTAATACATTTAATTCTTAGTTAGGTGTTTCTGTGTAAGGTGTTTCACATGTTACACCTCTGCTGCAGAAGTTGCATTGGCTACTAGTTTACTTCTAGACCCAATTCAAGGTGCTGACATTGAGTCCTAGATGGCATGGGACAGGGTTATTTGAGGGATTGCCTCTTCCCAATTTCATCTGCCCATTCCACCAACAGAATGGGCATGTGACAGTTCTAGGAAGCTACATTTGGCCTTAGATGACAGGCCTTTTTTCGTGTGGTGCTCACATTGTGGAATCTTTTCCCTCCACCCGCAGAGATGAAATCAGCCTCATTATTTCTGATCTTCTGAAGGTTCTCAAGACCTGGTTCTCAAGATCTGTTTATGCCAACACGCTTAGGGACTCCAGGGGA